CTATATCACTATAGAGCACTGCACTCTACTACTACTGCACGTGGAACAATCCTATTCCTCTCCTCCTCCAGATGGATCAAAGACTCAGCGTCGCCCTCCTGCTCCTGGGCCTGACGGTTCTTGTGGACGGACAGACTGTGGCAGCTCCGTTCACGGTGAGAGGCCTCCACGCGCTCGCTGTCTCGCGGCCGTCGACAGGCAGAGCGGTCGTGAGACACGGACGGCGCGTCGCCCTGCTCTGAGGGAAACGCACCGTCAGGACCTGCTTGCTAGTCTCACAGGTCGCTGAGCCTCAGACCATTTTTAATAAACGAGTAGCATCAGATGAAAAAAGACTTCATCCCCTCAAACTGCCAAGTGCATTAAAGCTGTTCGTATGAGACCTGTGAGGTACAGCTTGAACTGTCTTGATTCATTTCTATTTCTCACTCTCCACAGGGAAACATCACCCGGAACGGCTGTGGAGCTACTAAATTCTGCATTGAGACTCCCACAGGCTGTGACCCGGCCTCCAGTGGAAACTGTCTCTTTGCGTCCGCCGCTAGAGACACAACGAGCACCACCAGCATCTCTTTTAATCTCCAGGGAAACTCGAGCGGCTACATCGCTGCCATCTTAACAACCGCCGGCAACAACAGCACGGTACAGTATGCATTCAGTAACGCCACCAGAAAGGGAGCCATCTTGGGAATCCTTGATGAACCCAGTGTCGTACTCTCTGGCCTTTTAGACAGTTCACAGCTAAATGACTGAATTCAGTTTTTTTGTTTCCCAACTAAATGTGGTGGCTTTAAATGTTGCTTCTTCCTGAAAACAAATGATAATTGATGTTGTTACTCATTTACCCAGCTTTCCTTTAAAAAAAATTGTTTGAAATGTATTTACATATCAAGAAACAAGTTAAGACAGTTAAGCAGAATATAAAACAACACTCCTTCCGCAAGTAAGCTTGGCAATAGACAGCAGCCTAATTAACATACTGCTGTCATGCTTCCTGTAGAGCTCCGATCCAGTCAGTACAGGGGTCTCCAGCCCTGGTCATGTTCAGCCCCGATCCAGTCAGTACAGGAGTCTCCAGCCCTGGTCCTGTAGATCTCGGATCCAGCCAGTACAGGAGTCTCCAGCCCTGATCCTGTAGATCCCTGATCCAGTCAGTACAGGAGTCTCCAGCCCTGGTCCTGTAGATCCCGGATCCAGTCAGTACAGGAGTCTCCAGCCCTGGTCCTGTCAGGAAGAGGTCTTTCCGGACCCTATGCAGACGACACAATCCAGGGTAGAGTGAGGAAACACTGGGAAAAAGGCATGTAGGATACGGGAATGAAAACGGGGGGGGAGTGTCCATGGAGTGCTGGTGGTCGGGGGAGGTGTGGCCGAGGCAAACAATCCAGGGATGAGTCAAAAGGGAAATCCAAAACAGAGCAAAAGTCCAAGGCCAGGCGATCCATCCGAGACAGACGATTAAACAACCAGACAAACAAGGAAGGGCTGGAGCGCCCTTAGGAGGAGGGGTTTGCGAAAGTGACAGGCCCTGTAGATCCCTGATCCAGTCAGTCTTATACCTCTTTGTTGTTGCCCTATAGATAACCTGTTTTTTTTAAAAAATTGTAAATATAACTCCATAAGAAAATAATAAATTTGTCACTCAGAGATTGTCTTATTGCCAGGATGACAGTAGACATGCCTGCCTTTGCCTTGTGTCCACAGGGAGATGCCTTTGTGTGTGCTCAGAATGCTAGCGATACACTGTTCTATCACACAGTCTACTCGAGTAATGGATCCAGCCTGAGTCCAAACATTTTCAATGTAAGTGTCTTTATCCGGGGGAGGGGTCTGTACTGGAGGCAGTGCTGGAGGGTGCAGGACATTATGGAATTCTTCTCTGTGACCTCTGAACCCTGAAGCCACAGGAGGGTGAACATCAAACAGACAAACTCTGAAACACTGACCTGTCACAGATTTTTACAAATCTGAAGACACCTAATTCAAAACAGGAGATGAGGGCCTGGAATGACTCAAACATCTTCTCCACTAGGCTTTAGAACAGCTTCTGCTCTATGGCAGTGTGCATCATAAACAGCTAGCTGTGCAATGCCTCAGACCCCAATACACCTCTGCGCTACACATTTTTGATTTGGATAACAATGTATTTTTTGTTGCCTACCATAGATATGTTGTTGTCTGTCATGTATTTAGTGATCTTTATATTAGCTGTACCTACTATCACTACTTATTAAGTACTGTTATGTACTATCTTGTAATGTGCCATCTACGTTGTGTGGTGTTGCCTGGCATACTGTGTTGTGTGCTGTACTGTGCATGAAATACAAATTCCAATGTGCATGCACTATACACTCCTAGAGTGCCACGCTATTGCTGGTCCACCAGTGGCCTCCTGGAGATACGCAATCGGGCAGGTGCCATAACAAATTAATTGTCAAGAAATGGTGTTCAGAAAAAGACGAAAATCAAGATAAAGGTTAAGGGGAATGAAAGTCAAACACTCACTTGAAAATGAACTGTTCAAAGAACTGTCAAAGAAAGTTTTTGATCTCTATCTCACGTTGATGGGCTATAGATCTAATTTTTGCTCTTTCATTTCTTGTTATAAATAGCTTGAAGGTTAGGAGGGGTTGGGCTGAGAAAGGTAGTGTTGGGGCAGGTTGGTATTGGGCTGGTGTGAGTTGAGTTGACGTTGGGTTGGGGTGCGCTGATGTTAAAACGCATAATCCTCATGACTATCATCTCTCTTTCATTCCAGAACACAGTTTACAACGTCACTGGCTCTGCAAACAATAACATAATTAGCTGCACCTTCGTTGCGAGAAATCTCACCATATCAAATGGCAAAGCTACAACACTCTATAACATCTCTCTGGCTGTTGGGGATTTTACAGACGGTAATGTTTTTGTGTGTTCCTCCTGTTACCTGCTAGCTCTGTTTGTAAGAGGTGAAAGATCATTCCCAGACAGGAACAGACTCTCACCTTCAGTCCCAGTCGAAGTTCTTAAACCTTATCTGACATGTACAGCTTAGTGCTGGGTGGGCTTGGGCTGAGCTGAGAGAAGTAAGTGTTGTGTGGGGGTGGGGACAGTTGGGGAAGGTTACATTGTTGTTTTGCTGGTGTAATTTGAATTAGGGTAGGTTGGTGTTAGTCAAGAGGGTGTTTTATTGGGATGGGTTGAGATGAGTTGGCGTAAGGTGGGTTGAGTTGAGATAAGCTGGTGTTAGGTTGTGTTGAGTTGAGTTGGGGGAAGCTGGGCTGAGTTGGGATAAGTTGATGTTAGGTTGGATTGGGTTGAGTTGAGTTGAGTTGGGGTAGGCTGGGTTAGGTTGAGGTAAATTGATGTTGGGTTGGGGTGGGTTGAGTTGGGATAGGCTGGGCTGAGCAGAGATAAGTTGGTGTTGGGTTTGGGTTGGCTGAGTTTGGGTAGGCTGGGTAAGGTTGAGATAAATTGATGTTGGATTGGGGTGGGCTGAGTTGGGATAAATTGATGTTAGGTTGGATTGGATTGAGTTGAGTTGAGTTTGGGATAGACTGGTTTGAGTTGAGATAACTCGGTGTTGGGTTGGGGTTGGTTGAGTTGAGATAGGCTGGTGTTGGGTTTGAGAGGGTTTAGTAGAGGTGGGCTATGAAAGGTGGGGCTACAAAAGATATTGTCTGTGCCACTACACATCACGTCTGGCTTGCGAAACCCATAGGAAGTAGTTGAGTCAGCATGTGTAGTCTGCAAAGGAACAAGTAAAGGTTTATTCCAAGGAAAAGAAATGAAACACCACATTTTGGTTAGTCTTCTTCAGGTGCCTTCTTCACACCCGAAGAAGGCTCCACACCCAAAATTGTATTTCATTCCTTTTCCTTTCAGTATGGGATAAACTTTCCCTGCTCCTTTGCATGTCTGGCTCATGGCCATTCCCAGACAAGAACACTGAGCTCTCCTGCCCAATCACATCCAACAACACAGGAGAAACACAGAGTTAACAGAGTTAACATAGAGGGACAGAGTCAAATAACACGAAACAAAAGTATTTCCATTGGATTTTCTTTCACTAAACTGTTACAATGTCAGGGGAAAAATATAGTTATATATAGTTAGAAATATAGTTATTTAATCACCACACAATGTACAGGATGCCAAGTCTTGCTTGGTGTCTCCTCAGTGAGTGCAGTACTTGGTAGCAACAGTGTGAGCCCCAAACTCATGCTTGTTTCGTAATATTTCAGGATCATTATTTAAGCCAGGAGTACAATCATTCTCCAACCACACAGGTCCAAATAACCGCAGGTAGTTTCATGACTCGGCAGAGTCACTTTTCAACCAGCCCCCTTTTCAAGGGCAGACAGCAGCAGCTGAGGTGGGGTGTGTTTCACTATTCACAGGCACACTGCGCGCGCCC